AAATAATTGCTTTTGTGAATATACTGTTTGCAAAAACATCTCTGTGCAGCAGAAAAGTTTCCTGAGCAAGTTCCTCAAGTCTCAGAGTAATGCAGGTACCAGTCAATTTTGAGGGCTACATAAACGTTTATTCAGCCTCTAGCCTTACATCTGCAAGCACATGAATGGAAAAGCAAGGTTGAGAAGATAAATCTGGAATAAGTAGCTCTGTGACAGCTGAGAAGAAGCAGACAGGTGTTCCAAGCATTTGGAGCAGCTGAGACTGACAAGCATGAGAAATGTGTTCCTGGTTTGCCCATTGTTGTAATGATGCTCTAAGAAATATTTACCAAGGCAATATTGTTGGTGGGGTGGACCCATAACTCTATAAAGTCATGGACTTTCAGTCATTTAGAACCAGAACCACTTGATTTGGCATGGACTAATCCATTTACTCATTCCTCACACTCCTTTTTCAGTCACTCCTTGCTTCAATTCACATGCAGTTACAGATCCCCTGCCAGAGGAAAAGGTAAAAACTTAAAACTTGAGTCTCTTGAGCAGCCCATTTGCCTTAGACTGTAATGCACCCTGCTGCCACTTGGGCAAGCCTGACAGCAGTCCATTTCTAGCCAGTTCAGACAAAATATCGATAATTAACATTAATAAGAATATTTATAGCCATTTGTGATGATGATTATGATAATAATAATAATAGTGTCAGTATGGTCTATTGTGACAATATGAAATACATAGTAAGAATGCTAGGATAGGATAGACCATAAAATAAGATACATCCAGCAGCATGAAGAGAAAAGTGAGGAAAATCAAGGCCTAAGACACACTTCCCTTCTCCTTTTCCTGTATTCCTAAGAGAAACACAACCACATATTTATGCCTTTGCTAGAAATCAGAGAAGATAATTTGTAGTTAGCTACAACATCAACTAGGAGCACATGCTCTCATGAAATATTTTCTCTTTCCAAGTGTCATGTTGGCTTTCACAATTATATCATGTCCTTTGGTTGTGGCTGGTCCTGTAGATGTTCCTCCAGAAAACACTGTAACAAGAAGTTTGGGAGAAAGGGCAGAAGGAATGCAGCAAAAGACATGGCTAACAAGCACCACGTACCTTGTGCCTTGTACTTTTTGAGAGCCCAGCAAGTTCCATCACTGCCTGCTTCTCCCCTTTTCTGTGTCAGAGACCCTTGTTAGACAGTCCCCTTATTGTTTGTCTCAGGTAAGTATTATTCAGCAACAAAATACTTTTATTACTGATAATTACTTTGTGAGATGAGTACACATATCCACTTTTAAGTTCCACTCTCGGAAGACAAAATCAGCCCTTACTTGAAAAACAACGTTTTCTCAAACGCACCGCTCATGCTTCCTTTCACAAATTTATCATCAGACAACAGGCAAGATTGAAAACTACATCCAAACTGGAAGAACCAATAGAAACCTGCTGCTACAAAAGAATGGAGACAAAAACTGGTTGATAAGTGGTTAGGATGAGATTAATTTCTTATTGTCTGAGGAAGGGTAAGTTGGAACAACAAGCTGGAATAAGTTTAAGTTCTAGCAAGAAAAAGAATTATTTACTTTCACATTGAATTGAATTTGTGGTGTTTTCATTCCACCCAGTCTAATGATTTCCTTTTTGTCTTTAAATTCTTTAAATCACTTTTATTTTTCCCTTTGGTTAGATGAATATTAGAAGTGAGAATTAGAAACCCCAATAAATTATCCTTTATAGACACATTTGAACACGTCCTACAAAATAATTCATCCAGAAAGCATGAAAAGGAATTCCTAGGGAAATACATATATCTGAAGATCAGATTTGAAGGCATTGTGGTGACCCACCCTTTACTTTTGTAAGAATCCTTTGAAAATAGTGCCCACACAGCAAGAGCCAGGGTCACCCTACAGATAAGTAGTGATGGGCATATCTGGATGTGGATTTAGAAGCATCCCAGGCTAGAGAGTTCCTCTGCAGGTGCCATGCCTTTGCTTTAGGATCTCCAGTGCCCATCTACACACTTCATTTCATTCTAAGCTGCATGAGTGTGATAACCTGTGCAGCTGCTGCTGAAATGGGTCACATTTGCTGTTTCAGGGTTTTGAGCTGTGCTGGTCCTTGGAGCAAAGGCAACCCCATGCGCTAAGCCACACGTCACATGGTGCCTTAAGAGCCTCAGCCTTTTGCCCTGCTCACAGCCCTCTCTCTGAAGCTCTCAGCTCCATGCCCAGTCACCCAAGCCACCGTGGCAGCCTTTCCCAGAGACTCTAGGGCAGCACTTTCTCCATGTTCCCACGCTATGGATCTTGCAGTGTTATCCTCCCTGCCCTGCACCTGCAGACCCAGCAGCGCTGTTACAGGGGGTTCTCGTGGGAAGGGACTGCCACCAGCGTGAGAATCACCCCTGCTTCCCCTCCCTCCTTCTACCCTGTGGTCAAAGCTTCTGGTTGACATTAGTTGACCTGAAAACACGCGTGCCCCAAACTTAATAGCAAGTCAGTGTGCAGCCTCAGCAAAACATGCTCTCAACAACACCAGCAGCCTCATAGGCAGGAGCAACTGGTAAGAGAATCCTAATGAAAACTATGTTAATACTGTAGGAAAAGCTTTACATGGGGAACCATGAATCCCAGCACTGGAGCAGTCACAGAGAATGATGTTTGCCTCGAACACCCTGCATTGCTCCTCGTCCATCTTACACATTTCCTTTAATTCACAGTTTATTTACTGGTTTGTTGTTTGTTTTTTTTAACCTCCATTGTATTTTTTTTCAGCATTCATTCTTTTGAATCAGCTCTGTTGACAATTTTAAAAATTATAGTATTGTCCACTTACTTTGCAGAGAGTTTCTTGAACCACTTACAAAAATGAAAGCAAGCTCAAAGCTTGCTTACATTGTGCTTACATGGAGACTAAGAGGTCAAATTTTGTGTGAAGGAGGAACAATCATAATTTAAGAACCTGAGAAGCTTGTAAATTACTCTCAATTACACAGATCCTGTAAGCAGTATCAGTGTCAGAAGCTGTTTCCATGAGGCAGCCAGTGAAACAGGAGAACTCACTGTACCAATAATGGTACAAAGTAGTTCTGCCATGACAAATGTGGAGGATTTCTGTTCTTTCTGTCACCATCACGAGGACTGAGAATAACTGCATGAAATCAGACAGAGCTTTTTAAGATATCATATGCCAGAGGAGTCTTGCTGGTTCTAGAAGTGATGGCCATTACTTTGACCTCATTTAGTGATTGTTACAAAGCTTTTAATTGAATAATTAAAAAAATCTATTTCATACTTGTATTCAGGCAAGACTGAAAATAATTTATTATTACACAAAATACCATTTATTTTATCTTATGCAACAATTCCTGATCGTCATTGGCCCAAGGGCAATGATAATAAACAACTAAGATTCTGCAGGCACCCTGTTCTGGCAGACTGCAGAACCTGATCTGTGAAATGCAAAAACAGGAGCATTGAGCAACATCCCAAGGTTTTGCAGGCAAGATGTTGCTGGCATCTACAGACAAAGATTATCTGATTTGTATCAGATATTTACATTGTATAAAATGTATAAATGTATAAAATGTGTTTGCACACCTACAGTAACAAAGATAAAGTATGACAGATTTTGAAAGTTCAGTGACAATTTCAGCCAGGATTTAAATATTTCTTAGTTTTATCCTTTCAACTTTTGCGTGCCTTAAGTGCTCTTAATACTTAAATATAATGAAGTCTACGGAATGCAATTTGGTAGAGAAGCTGCTAATAGTCATTCATCAAGAATATTATTGTTAAATATTGTTTAAACTCCTAAAAATTTTTATTGATCATAACAGCTAGTAAATCACTCATTTTCAGTTCAGTTGAGAAAATTACAGTTCCAAAAGATTTTTGTGACTACGACTCAGTGTTTTCAGTCCTTTGAAAGGAATTGAGTCAGTCTAACTCCCACAAGACAAATGTGTTTCACTGCTACTATCTAAATTACTTCCAGAATTTTGCACAGGAAAAGGCCTGTGCAATATAATAGAAGAAGGCTCATCCCAGCATGCCAGATTCTATATGTGCAAAGGATGGACAGAAAAAGGTAGGAACAATTTGTTGGGTTTCTTTAATTTATTCTAAGATGATTCAACACTATTCTTTAAAACAACATTTTTGTTAAACTGTGAATTAGTGATCATGTGAATAGGTAGTCTGATCTCATCTGCAAATGAAGGTTCACCAAATGCAAGGGATTTTCTATATAACCTGTCACTCCTAAAAAAAAAGAGAGAAATTATACCCCCTTTTAATATCTGTCCTTTTTATGACGTGTGGATTTTTGCATTTAATATTCTGTTTTCAGCTCAAAGATTATCCAGTTTAATCCATTTTGGTCTGATAGATTAGTGTTCACCCTAATATTTTACAAAATGTGAAGGTCATGAAACAGAAGTTGAATTAGTTTGGTATCATAAGTCACTGCCAGATGAAGGTTACTTCTAAGGTAGTAAAGTCTTTCTGTTTTTTCTTCAGTTATGTGAATACTAAACATTTGAACTACAAGTACGAAAAACTTGAACACTCCTAGAGATCGAGTATACCAGAATGTTCCATATTTTTTTTAATTAGAAGTCTTGACTATATTAAAATATATCGTTTTCCAAAATTAGCTTCATCTCAGGTTACATCTCTGCTTGCTTCTTTTATGACCGACTTTTTAAACTCTGTCTCCTACATGCTAATCCGCTATAATTTATTAAAAACTCTTATCAAATTAGTCAGATAATGTTGTGACCCAGAGCATAATCAGTTACACCAACACTTATTGAATGTTAAGAGAATTCCTGCAATAAAAGTTGTTCTGATGTGTTGTACTAGACAACTTTTCTAAAAATGCAGTTCCCTTCCTTTGAAATGACTTTTCTTAGAATTTTGATTTTGTAGTGAACGTTATTAACCACAGTATTTTGTTGTTTTCTTATTGCATTGCTGTTACCTGCTTTTACAGATAACTCGCTCTTGTTCAGCCATTTCACCTAATCCACACGAGACCAAAATCCAAGACAATTAGAGTCGATTTATGTTTATGGGTGGTATCACTTCTGATGTTCCCTGTGCACATGCTCAAAAAGTGGTAAAGTTCAAAGATGGTTTGGAAAGTTGTGCTTTTGACCTGATCTCACCTACTGATGTTCTCTGGTAAGTTTTCAAAGCTCAGGGGATCATGTCTTAGCTGGCATTGAGGATGTCATCTCTTTAGTCTTTGACATCCTGGCAGGCAGACGGATGGTTGGATGGATGAATGAATGAAATAGAATTAAAGGCTGAAGCTGAGCCATTTATCATTTAAATCATCACATCTCAAATTGTAATGACATTACAGAGGCAGCCCCAACACCATCAAATTCAGCAACACAGCCCCCACATAGCAATTGTAACAATGGTGGGCTGCTATTTCCCCTTGTCTTCTCATGCTGCATTTGGGTAACTATTGTTCACAAATGGGATCTCACTTCCCTTTCTGACCTGGCAGACTATCATAAAATCATAGAATCATAGAATTATGGAATCATGGAATCATAGACTCATAGAATCATAAAATCATGAAATCATAGACTCATAGAATCATAGAATCATAGAATCATAGAATCATAAAATCATAGAATCATAGAATCATAGAATCGTATAATGGTTTGGGTTGGAAGCAACCTTAAAGATTATTTAGTTCCAGCTCTCCTGAAATGGACAGGGATGCCATTCACTTGATCAGGCTGCTCAGGGCCTTGAACATTTGATGGGGCAACCACAACTTCTCTGGGCAATGTCTCACCTCCCTCTGAGCAAAAAATTTCCTCCTAACATCTGATCTAAACCCACTTTCTTTCAGTTTAAAAACCATTGCCTTTGTCCTGGCAGTATCTGTCCCTATATAAAATCCCTCCCTCCTTTTTTTAAGCCACTTAATATACTGGAAGGTGATGTTTTGTCAACTGTTGCCATTAATCATAGAAAGCCGTTAGATTGGCCAGGAACAACAAGGAACGTATTTTGGGGGTGAGTATGCCAATTTTCTCTACTAACATGCCAGAGTCCACGCTATTTGGCAGTCTCAGAGTATTCACTTCGGGTGAAATGAGACTAGAAAAAGTGCTCCAAGGGCTCAGTGAATGGACTTCAACCTCTTTTGTATATTCAGACCTCAAACTGCAGCATCCAATTAGAGAAAATTTAAACTCCTGAAGATGAGTATAATGTGCCTGATGAGCATGGCATGTCATGTTCTAAATGTCAAGTACTTCACTCTACAGACTTTGGCACTCATTTGCATGACTTCATGATGTCCACAGAGTTTATTTCAGACTTTTTTGTACCAGCCTCTCTTCCTCCTCCCCCATCCAACTGAATTGCATCAAGATTTTTGATAGAATTAATTATAATTCCAGGGCACCAGAAAATGAGAGAAAATATGTAATGGTAGAGAAGTTAAATACCTTAATGTCAGAAAATCTTGATGGTGTTCCTTGCTGAGGACTTAAAGGCATTAGTAAAACAAATCCATGAAGTATGATTCATTATTTTTAGCAACTGGTGAAGGACATGAGACCCCAAATAGCCTGAAGGAAATCAGAGAAACTAGGATTGAAAGGATTTGGGGAATTCAGTCTAGTCCATACTCTCTCAGATAGCATGACTAATTGTTAGAGGCTTGTTTAATTCCACATCAAAGGCTTTAGCATAGAAAGGTTTGAAGACAAGTAAAAAGACACCTTGGTAGGCAGAATAAAAAAACAAACATCAGTAGTCAAAAAGTTTGGCAAATAACTAAGCTCTGTAGTGTGATAAGAGAAACTGTCTACTTTATAGGAACAAATTATAACAAATCAATTTAATTTCCTTCTTTGACGGAAGTTACTTGATAAAGAGTAAATAGAAATAAAATAACCTGAATTATATGAAATGCCAGCAAACTAACTAGGAAAGATGGTGTCAATCAGACTACACTCACAATGTAAAAATGGTTGAAGGTGAGAAGGCTGAGATGGCTGAAAAGGTGGTTATCACTTATCTACTATCAGATTAGAAAAGTATGAGAGGACTAAGCAGATTATGTCCTGCATAAATGCTTGCAAGGGATATTCTCTAATTGTACAAGAGCTGGAAAAAAACATACACATACAGAATTTGGAGAACTGAGAGGTATAATTTATAGCTATCTTCTTGTCAACTGTATTCCTAGAAGTGTGGAATGCAGACTGTACTTCTTAGAAGCACTTGCAGTTCTAGATGCCTGCTGTTACCGTGTATCTCTAACCAAGGATCACTAATCAGAGACCACTTGAGGAGAAATGTCATTGATCTATTTTTACATTTATGACATGGTCTGTATAATGGCCTTGTTTGTTCTTTTTGCGTTTTGTTTTACAGATATACACTTTATCTTACCATAATAACTTTCATTTTTCCTTCACCAGTTTTCTGTGAAAAGGAAGTTGATTTCCATTACAGTGTGGTTTTTAATTTCTCAGGCAGGAGGATCATTTCCTTCTTTGCTCTGAGTCTCGTTTAAGTTCAGAAGAGTCAAGTTTTAATTGGATACCTCTGTACCAGTTGATTAAAAAAAAAATGTAGCCATAGGTGAAAAGGGATGCAAAGCAATATGGCTGACATGCTGAAAAAGAGTAAGCATTTATTTTTGATCAAAATAATTATCAGTATTTCATTAAGTAAATGTGAACAACTCTCAGCAGATCCTAAGTGTGTGGCATGGGATCATAGCAGAAGAAACAATAATTGTGCAAACAACAAAAAAGTGAAGCTCTTGAGATCTGGCCATAGCTTGCACTGTTTGATCTCAGACAACTGCTGTTCATTCCTGCACTCAGTCCATGCCATCATCTTCTCACCTCGATTTTCTACACTACGGATTCCTCTTTGTTTTGCAGTTACACCACCAGTATCCCCAGGCAGAGTTATGAGGTTTATCAGGACGCTGCCTGCTCTGATCAGCGTGTTTGTGGCAAGCACTGCCCTCTTCCATGTTATCCAGCTCCTGAATCTTGGAGCTTCTCAGCCAGCCCTGACCTTCTGCACGAGCTGTTACATCTCCATGTGCCTCAGCTGTGCCAGCAGCAGCGTTAATCCCTTCCTCTACATCCTGCTTCACAGCTTCCAGGATCTCCAGTGGTGCACAAACACGGAGGTCAGGATGGTAGAACAGAATGTCAATCACAGTGAAAACACGCTCAAGTCAAGTTTTTGAAAGGAGGTTCTTCTTCCAAGAAAAAAGGTTCTATCTATGTGTAGATTTTTTTGTTTCCAATAGATGGGCCTGATTTCACTTCCCTCGTTTGAAACTAAGAAGTGGCTTTATTGCTGAATCACAGCAGTGTCAAGCTGAGGATCAGAAAGGAATCTGCACCACAATTTTCAAGGTTAAATCTCCTAGAATAGGGATTCTCTGCAAAAGAATTCTTTGCTACTGTGACACTGTCTATTTTATGATGATTTGTACATATGTTGCCCCCAAAAGGATGGAGACCAAAGTCAGTTTTGAAAGACAGCAACCCTGATAGTAAGATAAAATGACTGTGGAGGGCACTTGGGATCTGTGTATGAGATCATGGAAACTGTAAGTGAATGACAAAAAAAGTGACTTGGCTATTGATGAGTCAGAAAGGTGTACTGTTGATTTTCATCCTAACTACAGCTGTCTCATCTGGCACTCACATCTGAGCAATTAAAGTCGAGGGAGGGACATGAAAAACCCTTTTGGAAAGATATTACTTTTGAATTAACCTTTGTATATAACCTTGTAAACAAGTGAATTCACAGAGTGCAGCATTAGAAATTATTAAACCTAAGTTTTGAAAAGAACTGCATGTGTCAAGGATATGTCTTTGCTCCTCTTTTCTCAAAATCCCTTCTTCTGAGACAACCCCAAGAAGGGTCGTCCCTTCTTGAAGAGCTCAGCATTGGTCTCACTACAAGCTCCAAGAGGAACTTGGTGCTTGCCCAGGATGCTCTCTCCCTCATTTCTAGAGGAGTAGAAGAATGCTTACTTGTTGGCAACACTTAATCTGCAAGGTTTCTAATAGTAGGATGTAATCAAGCAACACTATCAGGGTCTTGTCAGCTGATACAGAAAATTGCTGAAAGAAAATTCTGTTGAAAAATCTGATGGTCTTGAGAGTTGTCCACAGTTTTGGACTTCATTGCACTGTGGGTTTATCCATGTTCTCTTCTCAGACCACTTTCTCTTATCTCAGGACTTCAATTATCATTTTTTTAGATAAAGATAGTATTTTGCTGGAACCAGAGGTTTTATCACTACAGTTTTCTTGTTATTCAGAGACCTGGTGAATCTGAAAGGTTTAGGATACACCTCCTTAATATTTCAGTCAGCTTCCCTCTTGTTCATCCCCCCCAAATGGGTCTTTTATTTACTTATTTGCAGCACTGTCAAGGTCACACTTAGTGACCACATTCCCTGATCCTGCCAGCCTACTGCAGGATTCAGGACACAGGAAAGAGTAAAATGTCTTTCACTAGAAAAAGTTGGCACTGCACATTCCCAAACCGAGAATTGAGACATCACTCTGTCTTATCCTGCCATCACATGAAATCTGTGAGTCCTAGAGGGTCTGACACACACAGTAAAAGGAGATTAAGGAGTTTGAAATCACTGATTGAAGTTCAAAGCCAAAGCTTTACACAGAAAATGCAACACAAAATATTTATGATGGTGTTATTGTAACTATAGCAGCCTAGGGGAATACTCAAGATAAACTTTATGAGTGAAAGAAAAGTTTTGGTGAAACTCTAGAGGATAGCTGCAAAATGGTAAGATTTCAAACTGTTGGGATTTGTTCAGACCTGAAAAGTTCTCCTACTTTTCCCAGCAGTAAAAATTTGTCTATTAGACATCTGATCTCTGCTTCCAGGCCTTGTAATTTAAAATTAATTATTTAATTAACCATTTGCACACAAGATGGCTGATCATGCTAAGGCATGTTTGTCAGCTCACTGTTCCAGCCTGTGCCTGCATGTGTCATCTTTGCTTCTGAATTACAACTGTGACTTTACAGATTTTTCTTTTATTTTTTTTCTCATCTCATCTCATCTCATCTCATCTCATCTCATCTCATCTCATCTCATCTCATCTCATCTCATCTCATCTCTTCTCTTCTCTTCTCTTCTCTTCTCTTCTCTTCTCTTCTCTTCTCTTCTCTTCTCTTCTCTTCTCTCTCTTCTCTTTTTCTTTTTCTTCCCCTTGCCTGGCCTTTTTAATCAGAGCAGGTCACTAATGATATGATATGATATGATATGATATGATATGATATGATATGATATGATATGATATGATATGATATGATATGATATGATATTTAGCACTGATAACAATGATAAAATAGTCTTTTATAACAATCTTGTTATTTTTGTCTTTTGCCTGTCCTACCACCATTCTAAAGTCCCTCTGCTTCTGAGATCATAGCAGCAAAAGGAACCACAGAAACACAACTTCATGAAATTATCCTAACAGCAAGTTTGACAGAACATTGAATGGTGTGGGACACTAACAAGTGGATTACTAATAAATTAGTGTAAGTTCAGCGTTTTTCTCACCTTCTTCATATTGTTTTAGTCCTCTGCATCTGAAAATAAACCGGATGTGTTTCAGGGAAATTTATGTACATATTAAAACTTTTATTTGCTAGCTAAATTTTCTATGTTAATGAATGCCCATAAAGGAATATAATGGAAACAATTATTTTTCTTTAATATTTTGGAGCATCTGATCTTGATTTTGTTGTTTCCTGGACAACTAGAATAAGCAGTCCATCAGGAAATAAAAATTGGGCGGGGGGGGTGGGAGGGCACGGGACAGGGGGAAAGGAAGATATATCAATCATGTTGGATTTTAAATAGCTCTAAAAGCTAGAAGTAAGTGAAACACTATGTGTGTCAGTTGAAATAGCATTGAAGAAAATCTGGGTTTGAAGGAAGGATGCTCTAGGGGGTCTAGAGAAAAAAACTGTGGTAGGCTATGAAAAGGCAAAACAGTGTTGAAATTGAACTGGAACACTGATCCTCTGCTGATGACTGATATTTTCTGTGCTGTTTTGCCATTATATCATCATATAAAAGCTGCCCAAAAGTTATAATTTAAAAAAGTTTTTCAAGATGCCTACTTCCAATTTGGTGAATAGTAGCTGCATATAGATAAGGCATGCACCTATACCTTCAGATAATTTTTTTTAGTTATTTATTTTGCATGAAATGCTTGTTAAAAATGCAGCATTTCTGATCAGGATTGTTAACACTGGACTGCAACTACCACCCAGTTCAGCATTTCAAGCTTTTATTGTATTTGAACTTCTGGCAATAAGTTGAGGGTGCAAATATTCAGTCATTCTAGATGAAAGTTTCCAAACCTTCAGGAAGATAGCCTTGATTGTACTCCAGGGCACTGTGGACCAGAAACTTCTTCCAGAAAATTCAATGCCAAAACTTTGGGATTTAATATCATATCACCTGCTGCATACATTGTGATGACTATTTAATCCCATCATCCAGTCTAAAACACTGCATGCATGAGAAAACTGGATGCCTGAGTGAAATTGGATAACTTTCCATTGGTAATGGAAATATATGTAGCATTCCCTATCCAGAAAAAGCACTTAACAGACTTCTTGCATTTTAAGCATGTAGAGAGTCTCACAGAAACCAGTGTAGGCATGAAACTACGTGATTCGCCATACTGGGGTCCAAACCTTCTGTCCAAATGCCAGCACCATCTGGAGGTGAATTTACAGAGAATGGTCAACTTAAAGGTATGTGCAAAGGGTAGAAAAGAGGGACGAAATGTCTGTGCAGTTTGTGGCAGGTAAGTGTTAGGAAATCATCGCAGATATAATTAACACTCCAGAGGTTATCTTGCTGAGAAATACTATTGGAATACTATTCTTTCCTTCAGAAAGAAGGAAAGAATATTTCCTTCAGAAATATTTCCTGGGGCTCAGTTTCCAAGGGCTGAATTTATACCCACGTTTGCATTTGGCCAGGGTGCCCTATCGTGGCCAGTGGTGCTTCCTGTCCCTTGTGCTCCCTGTCAGCTTCCTCTTGCCTTGAAAGATATTCATCAACTGAGAGGATCTTTAAAGGAAAATATCACCATCCAAATCAACAGGAATCTCAGTGATGTGGGGATATCCTATTTGTTTGTGTATACAACACATTTTCCTATGGATATTTGTGGGGGAATTTTCCACACAGCTAAGTGCATTATGTAAAGGTAGAAGGATGTTTATTATTCAGTAATTCAGATAAACTATGTGTGATATAGTGTTGATTCAAAAATCACAGCAAAGGGCAGGAGGGAGCAGATAAGACATAGGAGAAAAATTCATCAGTGTTAGAAGAATCAGAGCATGGTATTCTTGAAAGCATTTTCACTAAGAGGGAAAATACAGAGAGAAAATAATTAATAACAAATGCATTCATTTAAACTTGAGGATTCAGGGGTTTTTCCATTTTTTTTCACTAGCAGTATTTTAAACTGCTGCCATTCACTAGGCCAGCAGCAAAAGAGAACAAAAGTAGCTTGAATAGTCTCATAATCTGCTCTATTTAAATTAATTGGGGTAAAATCTCACCAAAAAAGAAAAATGAAAAAAAGAAATTAAATCCTTGCTTGTAGCTGGAGAGAGATTAGTTGCATTCTTGGAACATAAGCTATTTTCTCTAAAGTTTATATGTATGGTCTAAAAATTCAGTAAGCATTAGTGGCACAAAGAAAATTAGGAGGAGAGAAATATCTGGCTGTTTTCAGCACTGTGCTCTGCACCTTCTAATTTGCATGGATGTAAAACAGCAATTTAACTACAGAAATAGTGATACAGTAGAGCTTTACAAGCAGAAAGAGAAATTCATTTACAATTTTCCAATTATATCTCATATGAGAAATCTGTAAATTTTTGGACTTCAAGACCTAACAATGAATTTACAGTTATATCAGTGAAACATTTAATCTGATTTTTGGGAAGAAAAAGAAATTAATATCTGAATTGTAATCAGATATTTTTTTACATGTCCACGCTGTTTGGCCTTTGCTCACCCATCCTTGCAAACACCATGTTTGCTAGAGTTTGCCTCTACTTTAACTTGTACTACAAGCAGAGATAACCGGACTGATGAGGGTGCCAGCTCTAGCCAAGCTGTAGCAGAATGGACTGCACTCTTCAGACATATTTACTCTGCCTTTTGGCATTTCTTTAACAACATCTTTGACACAACATATTGGGGGAAAATTATATGATTTTTCTGTTCTAACAGGAGCTCCTCATTTTCACAGAATTTTTATAGCGTAGAATAGCTTTGTCTATTTGTCATACTACCTACAGCACTAGGCACAAATAAAAATGTCCTAGTAACACTTTTTCTAAATTTCAGTATTTTATTGGTGAATTCTGAAATACCATTTTTTTAATAAATCACTGTGGGAGCACATTTAATTCACCTTTAGTAAGACAACTAGCCACTTATCAGAGACTCATCTACATAAAGAGAAAAGCAGCACAATATATTTCCAGAAATTCTAGGACTCAGTTGTCATGAGTTTAACTCCCAGCTAATGTATCATAAGGGAGATTGTTATTACAAGCTCCTGAGCATTCATCTTTTGCAGTGGAGGATCCTTCACTTGGGCAAACTCACAGTGTGCACACTCACACACCCCTTCCAAGTTATCACTCCT